AGTAGCCCCGGGGTACGCCCACCCCCAGCCAGTAGCCCCGGGGTACGCCCACCCCCAGCCAGTAGCCCCGGGGTACGCCCACCCCCAGCCAGTAGCTCCGGGGTACGCCCACCCCCAGCCAGTAGCTCCGGGGTACGTCCTCCCCAGCCAGTAGCCCCGGGGTACGCCCACCCCCAGCCAGTAGCCCCGGGGTACGCCCACCCCAGCCAGTAGCCCCGGGGTACGCCCACCCCAGCCAGTAGCTCCGGGGTACGCCCACCCCCAGCCAGTAGCCCCGGGGTACGCCCACCCCCAGCCAGTAGCCCCGGGGTACGCCCACCCCCAGCCAGTAGCTCCGGGGTACGTCCTCCCCAGCCAGTAGCCCCGGGGTACGCCCACCCCCAGCCAGTAGCTCCGGGGTACGCCCACCCCCAGCCAGTAGCCCCGGGGTACGTCCTCCCCAGCCAGTAGCCCCGGAAGCTAGCCCGGGGGAAACGTGATGAAACGTGTGTTTTCTCACTCAGATTTCTCCCCAGCTGCAGAACTGCATCTTCCCTCTTAACACACAAGTCACGTTGAGCCCGACATCCTGGGTGGGGCGAGCTCTGAAGCACCCCGGTTATCCCGGGTGCTTCAGAGAGCTCCATTGAACATCCCTAATCCCTCTCCAGATGATTGACGATTGATTGATGAAGATTGCGCCACCCAGGAGGTGGCACGGGCTCCTTGCCAGGCTCCTTGCCATGTTTAGGCGGACCCACTGCGGACCTTGCAGTGTGAAAACTTCAAGTTACCATTTAATTTAATAGTGGAATTGTGGACCGGGATAAGTTTGGGGCGCTGCTGGTCACCTGTGAAGGTGTGGGGCTGAGCTTCCAGCGTGAGGAGCGACGGCTCTTCAGGTTATCTTGAGATGATTTCGGGGCTTTGTGTCCTCCCGGCCCGGTCCTCGACCAGGCCTCCACCCACAGGAAGCAGCCCGTGACAGCTGACTAACACCCAGGTACCTATTTTACTGCTAGGTAACAGGGGCATAGAGTGAAAGAAACTCTGCCCATTGTTTCGCCGGCGCCTGGGATCGAACCCGGGATCACAGGATCACAAGTCCAGCGTGCTGTCCGCTCGGCTCCCTACACTGGGGTACACTGCCCACCAACCTCCATAACCCATTAATTCATCCTCGATAAACACATCTACACAATGTATCATCTGTGTGAATGCTGGGCTACGAAACTGGTTTAGAATCTGTATCCGCCCTTGGGAATGAATTCAAGTCACGGTACTCGCACGCACGCAAGCACGCGCGTGGTGGTGTGGTAGTCGAGGCGTGTGTGAAGGTGTTGATGTTGTGAAGCCTCAACTCCAGTCGGTGCTTCTGGATTAATTGAAGCAGTGTTAAGAGAGAGTGAGGCAGTTATGTAACGCGTATGGGTGTTGACGGCGTGGCAGGGGTCACGCTCGGCCACCACAGAATTATACACAATTTCAACAAGTTATGAAAAGAAATAAGAATATTGGAAGCCATTGCAATTGGCGGCCATGATTGTAAGGCGTAGCCCAGTAGCTGTAGTCCTTAATGTTGTCATGATGCACTCCTCATGGTTATATGATTAATTGTATCTTAATTTATTTTGTATTTACTGAGATTAAATGATTACTGGTATGATAATTTTTCGTAAAACATCTGTTTGAATTTGATATATTGTCATAGATAGGGTTTCAGTTTTGCCCGCTAGGCTTACAATGGAGTATTTCGCCAAAAGTTTAGTATTTGCAAAATGACCTAAGTTTTTGTGTAACTTGGTTGTGTGGTGTTGTTGTTCAGTGACTAACATGTTCACCTGTGTGGTAGTGCTGTTGTTGTTCAGTGACTAACATGTTCACCTGTGTGGTAGTGCTGTTGTTGTTCAGTGACTAACATGTTCACCTGTGTGGTAGTGCTGTTGTTGTTCAGTGACTAACATGTTCACCTGTGTGGTAGTGCTGTTGTTGTTCAGTGACTAACATGTTCACCTGTGTGGTAGTGCTGTTAGGGTGACATTTAGCATAGTCACCTTCTGCTGTTTATATATATAAAGTGGCTGAACATAACCGGGTGAGTGCGTGCTTGATGCACGTCTAGACACCAGTTTACGGGTTTAACTTTGCAAAGAACAACACTATGACAACTTTCTCAATTCTAATTATAACCTTTTATGTCTACTTTCATATACAGCCCCACCGGCCAGCCTTGTGGACCAGGCGCCTGGTGCAGAACTTGCCCAGGTTCTTGCGACATTGAAGACTTAATAATAAACAGCAGCTCCCCAATGACTCTGTAATATCTCAATTGGTCAAACTATTATGTATTAGCGATAAGACCTACCATTAATGTATAATGACTTACTGTAAATATATAGCTCTTGAAATAGAACATTCTCTGTAACTAGCTGACATTGTAACTATAAGGTGTGAAGGATAGATGAAATTGTTTATGTAATAATCTGGGATAAGGTCTAATAAATACTTTTTGTGCCCTCTGTAATGCTTTTTGTGCTACCGCTCACAGGATGAGTATAGGGTGCACAATAAACTAGTATCATTCGTCGGCAACAAAATCAGTGTTCAATGGAGCTCACACTTAACCCGGCATTGGCAGCCGTCAAGCTGTAGCAAAGATACCCGATTGTCCCCTGCTTCTAATACCCGCTTTTTGGTCAAATCTCATCTCGATAATTGGTAATTCTCTAGTGCAGATTCACAATTAAAGATTGCATTTATTTGAAGGAGGGTTGGGAGGGGGATACTTATCTCGTTCCTTCCTTCGACTACTGTCGCATGTTAACAGGTATCTTGACACCTGTTAATATTGTCCTGTGAAGTCCAAAACAAGCTACAACTAAACGAATGAAAGAATTACCATTATTAATAAGATTCGGGTCACGAGTGCTTCTCTGAACACTGCCGTTGGAATTAAGCGGCCCACTTGATTATCTACCTTTGTGAGATCAGGTGACGGGAAGTTGAGACCACGTGTGTAGCGTGTGAGGCTGTAGGGACCACGTGTGTACCGCGCGAGACTACAGGAATCACGTGTGTAGCGCGTGAGGCTGTAGGGACCACGTGTGTACCGCGCGAGACTACAGGAATCACGTGTATAGCGCGTGAGGCTGTAGGGACCACGTGTGTACCGCGCGAGACTACAGGAATCACGTGTATAGCGCGTGAGACTACAGGAATCACGTGTGTAGCGCGTGAGACTACAGGAATCACGTGTGTAGCGCGTGAGGCTACAGGAAACACGTGTGTAGCGCGTGAGGCTACAGGAAACACGTGTGTAGCGCGTGAGGCTACAGGAAACACGTGTGTAGCGCGTGAGGCTACAGGAAACACGTGTGTAGCGCGTGAGGCTACAGGAAACACGTGTGTAGCGCGTGAGGCTACAGGAAACACGTGTGTAGCGCGTGAGGCTACAGGAAACACGTGTGTAGCGCGTGAGGCTACAGGAAACACGTGTGTAGCGCGTGAGGCTACAGGAAACACGTGTGTAGCGCGTGAGGCTACAGGAAACACGTGTGTAGCGCGTGAGGCTACAGGAAACACGTGTGTAGCGCGTGAGGCTACAGGAAACACGTGTGTAGCGCGTGAGGCTACAGGAAACACGTGTGTAGCGCGTGAGGCTACAGGAAACACGTGTGTAGCGCGTGAGGCTACAGGAAACACGTGTGTAGCGCGTGAGGCTACAGGAAACACGTGTGTAGCGCGTGAGGCTACAGGAAACACGTGTGTAGCGCGTGAGGCTACAGGAAACACGTGTGTAGCGCGTGAGGCTACAGGAAACACGTGTGTAGCGCGTGAGGCTACAGGAAACACGTGTGTAGCGCGTGAGGCTACAGGAAACACGTGTGTAGCGCGTGAGGCTACAGGAACCACGTGTGTAGCGCGTGAGGCTACAGGAACCACGTGTGTAGCGCGTGAGGCTACAAGAACCACGTGTGTAGCGCGCGAGGCTACAGGAACCACGTGTCACCAGAATGACAGCAGTGTCACACTGTGAGAGCGACCGTAGTAATGTCAGGATTGACCCCGGTGGCAGGAGTGACACAAGAGATGTTGGCGGGACAAGAGAAGCAACGACATTTTACAATAGCAAAAGAAAATATGGAGGGCTGTGTGGCCCTGTTGTACAGAGATGGATATCGTGGGAAGTTGTTAAAATGACCAATAGGTTGTGATGCAGGCATGGGGGTGAGGGACTGGGACCAGTTTGGTTATTCAGCACTGTGTATATATATACGTGTTCTCACCTACATGTGCAAGCAGGGTTGAATATCTGCTCCTAGCCTCACCTTTTGAGCATTCTTAGTTTCATTACTCGGTTCTCACATTTTTGTGATGATATTTACATTTTAAAACTGTGTATGGAGTCAGCGTTTCAAATTTTGTCCATCAATTTATAATGATATGTACCTGCCAGCCTTCCTTCTTCTAAGGGTCTGCGGTCGAATCTCGATGATCAAAAGTAAATGTACACTCTTTCCTTCACTGAATTTTTGTTTACCACCCATTAGTGTCTCCCCGTTTCGTTTCCAAGTGCTCTAATCTACATAGTCATGCTGGTTTAGCACTTTCTCCTCATAATTACCTTACCTTCAACCATAAAATATCAACCACTTTACCATGCGAGTGCGAGCACCCAATGATACTTAGCAATGTAACAGTAAATATGTTGTGGTGTTGAACTATATAATGGCTTGTATGGTTTTCCATTCTATGCATATCTTGGCAATAGATTTTCCGTTAATAACCTTGTATTAGATATTTTGACAAAAGTCAAGTCCTCCACTCATTTTTGTAGTAAGAAATTTTCTATGAACGAGCGCTTGCATTTATTGGCAGTCTACTATAATGCTTACCGAATAATGTTCAGCAAGAAATATAATGAACCCATTGTATTCCGTACTAGCCTAATAGTTGTCAATATTGGACTTCTATAGTAGTTTACATTAGGTGCAAAATAGTAATGTCTGTACATTTGACAGGTCAGACACCGTGTGACTGGGGATGTGATGGTGCTGAAGATGAACAAGCTCATCAGTAACCGACACAATATGCTACGAGAAGTAGAGTTGATGAATCGTCTTCATCACCCCAACATTCTCAGGTAAGACTCTTCACCTTTGTGATCGCAAGATCATTACTTCAGAGGTTTTCAACACTCGAACACATTACTTACTGGATGAGGTGTCCGGCGGTGCCCTGGTTACACTTCCCCTCTTCCCATCTCTGCCTTCTTTCCCAATCTCGCCCCTATCCCCTTTCTTCTTAGATTTCCCCTCTTCCACCTCTTTCTCCCAGCAAACCCACAACATAACTGCAATGTGATTGTTCAATTATTTGATACACACACATAACCACAACATTTTTAACGTTGCAAGTTGGAATATTATGATCAACAGAAAACTGTTGGAAAAAATTACACACAGAAATCACAATAGCGTGATGCATCAATGAACAAATCCACAAGGGCCGTGGCGAGGATTCGAACCTACGTCTGAGAGCATCCCAGACGCTGTCTTAATCAACTGAGCTACGACATGGTCAAAAAGAGTTGAGACCAGAAATTCTACTGAACTTACTTGCATCCTGCAGCCTCTCCGAGACATGTCAATAGGTAGAACGGCCTATTGACATAGTTCGAGTGCATGGGTGAGTTGTGTAAAACCGTGGTTTGTGTCTCGGAGAGGCTGCAGGATCCAAGTTAAGTTCAGTAGAACTTCTGGTTTCAACTCTTTTTGACCATGTCGTAGCTCAGTCGATTAAGGCAGCGTCTTGGATGTTCTCAAACGTAGGTTCGAATCCTCGCCACGGCCCTTGTGGATTTGTTCATTGATGCATCACGCTATTGTGATTTCTGTGTGTAATGAAGTAAGGATGAAGAGGTAGAATGAATCTGGCCTCCATAATAATAATAATAATAATAATAATTTTTATTTAGGTAAGGTACATACATACAATAAATTTTTACAAAGATTGGTTGACTTATAGGTAGAGCTAGTACATACAATGCCTAAAGCCACTATTACGCAAAGCGTTTCGGGCATGATAAACTTAAATGACAAGCTTAATACTAATTGAGCATAATGAGTAGAATGAAAACAAGAAATGAAAACATAGATGAAAAAGCAGCACAAATACAATTATGTCAACAAACAGCGCTCTTAAAAAAAACAGACATTGGTTGACAATAGAAGGGTAAGGTAGGTTACAGGGAATTTATTAGGTATAGCTTCGTTTTTGACTTAAACTGGTTGAGAGAGGTACAGTCTTTAACATGGTTGGGAAGGTCATTCCACATTCTGGGCCCCTTGATTTGTAGAGCATTTCTAGTTTGATTAAGTCGTACTCTAGGAATATCAAAACTATTTATTTCTGGTGTGGTGCTCATGGGTTCTGTTACAACCTTCTATGAAGCTTTTGAGATCAGGATTGGCATTATAGTTTAGCATTTTATATATGTATAATACACATGAGAGAATGTGCAGTGACTTAATGTCTAACATATTCAGAGATTTGAGTAGGGGTACCGAGTGATGCCTGGGGCCAGAGTTGGATATTGTCCTAATAGCAGCTTTGTGTTGAGTAATTAGAGGACGTAAGTGATTTTGGGTAGTAGAGCCCCAAGCACAAATACCATAGTTGAGATATGGATAGATAAGGGAGTAATAGAGAGTCACCAGGGCATCACCATCTTTGGACACACTTTTTATAGATGTAGATTTATTTAATCATTTGTTGTAACTGATATTTACATTAATATCATAGGTTATTAATTACCGGTATATATTCATCCATGTCATGTGTTGTAACCGATATCTACAATGTCAATGGTTTTAACTGAAATAACACTTATACCTTTTTGAAGCTGAGCATAACTACTAATTTATATATATCCATTCATTTATTATCAAAGTAATACAAATGTGTATTGAATAAATTATTGTATGTTTAACTATCTTCCTGAAATTAAAATTTTAAACTTTAATTATTAAAATACTTTTAGACAAATTATACTGCTACCCATTTTATTTGTGAGAGAAAAATATATATTATAATAATATAGAGAGCATTAGCACCTCTGGTTGTAAAGGGGACCTGTAGCCTCTGAGGAAAGGACATACAAAACATTACATATATATTTTTATTTTACAGCTACTATGGTGTCTGTGTAAATGAGGGCCAGGTTCATGCACTGACAGAGGTAAGATAATGCTCGTATTATATTACATTCAGTTCTTCGTTAAACCATAGTTAACATTGTGAATAATGTGTCTGAAGTGTTGGTATTGATAACATCATTGTACAGTATATGCAGTATCATATCAGGAGCCGGTCGGCCGAGCGGACAGCACACTGGACTTGTGATCCTGTGGTCCTGGGTTCGATCCCAGGCGCCGGCGAGAAACAATGGGCAGAGTTTCTTTCACCCTATGCCCCTGTTACCTAGCAGTAAAATAGGTACCTGGGTGTTAGTCAGCTGTCACTGGCTGCTTCCTGGGGGTGGAGGCCTGGTCGAGGACCGGGCCGCGGGGACACTAAAAGCCCCGAAATCATCTCAAGATAAACTCAAGATAATCTAAGTGGATTTTCCAGTCATTTTCTTTTAACTAAGAAACTCTTAAATAGGAAACAGTAATGAGTCTTTTATAGTAACTATTGAACAACCTGGGTCACATCAATAGCATTTAAGAAGGGTATTGGGTATATAGCCCCCTTCCACAGTAAGGTCGTGCAAAATATAACACTCTAATGGAATTTCATGTACTCATATTGTTAGCATTGAACTACAACTTGCATTATAAGCTCAGAAATGTAGATGTGAGTTCCTCGGTTATCCATAGATTCCAATTTTCCTGCAAATATTTGTCTGGGCATCTCATATTCACGTGACTCTACCAACCCCTCTGTGACATATTTTCTGATGCCAGTGGAACATGTGGTCCGGTGAACTTTGTCAAACATTTAACTCTTCTGAGTGTGTGTGCGCACTCACTCGGTTGTTGTATTTCAGTGTGAGCGAGTATGCGAAATATTGAAATTTAATCGGAACAGCTGCTTAATTATTCATACAATGTTTGCTTTTTCAAAGTAGATTAAATATTACATGCCATAACTACATTAATTTCATATTTTTCAGTATATAAATGGGGGTTCTCTTGATTCTCTGATTGGAAATCATGCTGTGCTTTTACCTTGGGCAACAAGAGTGTCTCTGGCACTGGATGTGGCTCGGGGGATGGCCTATCTTCACTCCCAAGGAGTATTTCATAGAGATCTCACTTCCAAGGTAAGTTGCTACCATGACCTATACATAATTAAAGTTGATATCAGCCCTTAGTAAATACAATAACAGCTTTGAAGTAATTAGAAGTAAAATGGTTTTGCAAAATATATTTTAGAAATTAATGGATCTTTAAATTTTCAGAATGTGCTCATTAAGCACACACAGGAGAGTGGTGAGCCCAAGTTGACAGCTGTGATTGCAGATTTTGGCCTAGCAGCTCCTATCCCGCATGAGAGGTAAGACTAGCTAATTAGAAGTCGGTATCATCATTAATAGTGCCACCATCAGTATCATAAAGCAGTAATTCTTAAAGTTTTTCCTATTTGCTCTCCTAAAAAACCTCCAAGCTGTTCTTGCATTCTTCTGCACAAATTGATAAATTCCTACAGTAATAAAACAACAATTTTATGTTTAGTTTTAGTGCCACTTCCCCGAGATGAGCCACATTTGATCATAGCATCCTCACACCCTTGGTTCCTCACACCCTTGGTTAAGAGCCCATCATAAAGCATCATAAATAATAGCTGGACAGTGCTTTGTATATTTTCCATAGCCAGTACCCATTATTGAAGTTAAATTAATTAATCTTTAATGATATACTTAACTGTGATTTATTATGTCCCTGTTATTCTTTAAGATAACAATGAGAGTACAGTATATTAATATCTTGTTTGTTCCATTATTTGTTAGTTCAGTGTGAACTTAATGTAAAGATATTGGAGCTCCCTATTTTTTTTGTAAGTTTAGTATAAAAGACTGGTATTACCTATATACTATATATTAGCAAATTGGTTATGGTGTGAATTCAGAAAAATTGAACAATATGCATTCAGATCTGTATCAAAAACTTTTGATAAATACAAAGAAAGTCATAGATACAGCTTTAAAATTAATATTATATTAGCATATTAAGAAGGTGACCTAATATTTCTTATGTTTTTAGTACAGTATATACAGTATTGGGGTACCACCTCTGGTGCATTTGTAGGGACCCATAGCCTTGGAGAAGAGAGTAAAAGGTACTCAGAGAACACCTTGTAGATTCTCCCTGAACACTTGAGTGTTGTCTTCCCCTACCACCTTTACTTTTGTTTATGAAATGTTTAGTAGATACAGTAATCATAAACAGTAAAATATTTTATATGTAATTTTATAACACAGTATTATATACTGTACTGTACTCGTTTCCAGTATATGAATGAAATTTCTTGACAGATGTATGCGTTTGCGTCAAGTGGGATCTCCATACTGGATGGCTCCTGAAGTTATTCGTGGTGATTGGTATGATCATCGTGTTGACGTGTTCAGCTTTGGTATCATCGTGTGTGAAATGATTGCCAGGTAATTGGTCAAGTTTTATTATTGCAGTTGACCAGTATTTGTTTATGCCAATATTATGTTGATAGGTTTTCAAAATTGATTTGAAATGTATGGTATCCATTGTTGGTCATGCATAGAAAGATTAAAAGACTCATAATTTTGTAATTTTCACTTAAAATTTTGCAACACCAATTTACTGAAATAAATGACATATAAGCATTGTTAACTGTAATGAATCGGATACATTTATATTCATTCTTAACTATTAATTCTATGAATATGTAATGGACTCTTTTAGTTTGAAGTTGCATTAGATTTTTTGTTTAAATTTAGATACTGTATTGTGTTAGTCAGTTATAAGACAGTGAGGACATCTAGTACTGGTTTGCTAATACTGCTGAACTTTCATAGTTAAAGTGAATTTTGGCAATAATGCTGAGTAGAGCATTAAATACACTGACATACACACACACATACCCATGACAATTGGCATAGCCAATAAGCTGATGGCAGTAGAGGTTTTACCTAACAATCTAGAAATAGGTTTTGAAGAGTATGTTAGTGATATTCCAGCAAAATTAATGTACTACAGGAAGTAAACATGATAAAAATGGCACAGAATTACAAATAAGGTACTGTATCTCTCATGACCTTTGTCCAGAAGGCTGTGTTTAGCTGCTGATTTCTTTGACATGGTTGGGAGTTTTGGCTCCTTCCTCATGTTGTTGATTCTTATGCAACTAGAGGCTCTAAGAATGATATTCATGGCTTTGTTTTAATTTTTTCTAATTCAACCTAGTGCTAGGAGCTGCAGGGCATGGTAGTCAACAAGGGACCAAATGAACATCATGTGGAACATTCTGGCATATTTAACATTAATACCAATGTGCTTTCCAGCAAGTGTTTTTAGAGGGTATAGTCCTTCTCAAATTCTGAGCTGCAAGTTGCATATACTGCAGTGTTAATAGTCACACCAAGATATTTGTATCGCCTGCAGTTTTTGATGTGCTGATCATTAGCTTAAAAAAATGGAAGATTGTTAGTGTTTTGGGGGGCATATGGTCCTTGTTTATCCATTTAACAATAAGCCCACATTCAGTACTGTACATCTGATTGCAATGACACTCATCTGCGTAGCAGATAACATCCTTATCTGCTTGTGTAGGTATGTCAGCTACCGGTCTATGCATCAGCACATTGATAAGGATAACTTAGCATAGGCTGAGTCCAAATCATAGGAAGCATTATAGCTACTTTTAGCTCTTATAAATGAAGCAGTTCTGTTAGAGAAATATCCCTAATCCATAACAATAAGTCTCCTCTGACTTAAGCTTTGTCAGAAGCAGTTTGAAGATCAAGAAAGGCTATGAGAATCTTTCTTTCAAGCAGCTTTTGATGCAGCTAATAGGGAACTCATTCTGGAACAACTAATTAACTGCTAGTGTAGTGTACAAATTTGAGAGTAGAGATGATGATAGCTAAAATAACAGGAATAGCAGAGAAACTGAATATGAAGAATGTTTAATAAAGAACAGAAGAATGGAATACTGTACGAGGGGGGAAAAGAAATTACAGAAAATGCCAAGAAACTAAATATCAGAAATTCAGAAGAAAGGGCGGGAGGTTGGGTTCATAAGCGGGGCATATTCAACATTAGGAAAGGTACAACAATGGGACCTAGATAGAACCTTGAGTCTGAGTCATAGGTATGTTAGAAAGAAATTTCTTTTAGTGTAAGAGTTTTAAGTAAATCAAATAAATCAAAGGGATCATCAATAGAAAGTAATACAATAAATTGTTTCAAAAGTAGACATGACAAGAAATAAGATGATGATAGTCATTGCATTAGGTAACTGACAGGTGATGAGGCAAGGCTCGGGTGAATTCACACACTCTTGTTCATTTAATTTTTGTTTGTTTGACTTTTCTCTCCGTCCATATATATTTTTATCAACATGTAATGTGGTTCAATACATTTTTTATTGAAGTTTAATTTTGCAGTATGTTAAATATTTTATCTGGTACTTTATTCATCAAGAACATTTTCAGATGTGAAGCTGACCCAGATATACTGCCAAGAACTCATAATTTTGGAGTACATTATCGAGACTTCTACCAAATGTGCCAACAAGACTGTCCTGCATTATTTTTGCAAATGGCTTTTCAGTGCTGCCAGGTAAGATTTCTCAGCTTTAAAATGTATAATAATAAGGTTTGATATACTGTATACAGTCGATCATCTAAAATGCCGCAGGAGTGAACGAAGTAACAGTAAAGATGCTTGGAGAATAGTAGAGATTCATCATTATCTATTTGAGCAAGATTCCACTGTATGCAGAAACAAAATGCATCAGCTTATCACTTATTTTAATGATTGATACTTAATAAATATCTTTACAGTATATGAATTGATTTTGCAATTTCCATCTACCCTGCTCATTCCTGGTAAGATAACATGTAGACGAGAGTTACTATGAGAAATTGTTTACACTTTCATGAAGGCAATGTGGCTTTAGCATTATACTACTATATACCAGGAACACTATTTTGCCTAAGTTACCAATCAATTTTGGCAGATTGAACCTGCATCCCGTCCAACTTTTGAAGAACTGACTCAAAAACTTGAACCATTACTTGGTCAGCTCATCACTCTGACAGCAAGACACTTACCAAGGAAACTCAAAGGTAAGCATTATACTTTTGTTTTATCAATAGGTGATACTTGGAGTTACTGTCACAAAAGATAGCTTGTTGATGAACGTATTAAATCCTGTTTAAATCAGATCTGTTATGAGATGTGTTCAGTGTCATTTTGATTCAGGCTAGCCTTTGACTGTACTGATGTGAAATGCTGAGGGTGTGTGCAAAATTCTCTGTTTTGCTAGTACAAGTCTCGCCATGCTGATTGTAAGCTATGAAGTTTTTACAACTTTATAACTGTTAACTTAAGCCACAACTGTAATAATTTGTATAAATTACTTGTGAATAGGGTGTTTGAAACTAAATCTGAACCTAAATTTTGTTCTTGTATATTTCAAATTATATCATTCAAGAAAATACTAATCAAATTTTGCACAAACTACCACATTTATTCATATTTTAATAATTTTTGTTTATGTTGGCAGTTTGTCATCGTAGATCATTGTCAGATGATACCTTTAAACTACTGCGCAACCAAATGGGTGAAACTGTGTTTGTGCCAAGTGTTCCAGTAGCAGCTCCTCCAGTCACCACATTGACAGGCTCACCTGCAGTCACACCTCAAGAAATTGTTGAAAAAATGAGTGCAGCTGATCCTTACTTCCAGCCATCTACAGGCACAGTCAATCCTTTTACGCAGCTAAAATTGCCTGCCCGGTCACAGTTGGCTTTGCAGGAAGGTGGCCGCTATTGTCTTTCTTTACCAGATTATCCTGATCTTCTAGTACACTCGCCGAGCTTAGAATCCAATAAGCATATTCACACTTCGGATTCCTGCTTGTGCCCTCATGCATCTCCTGCTCATTGTCAGTGCCATGTAAACCATAGACAATTCTCATCTCAAGTTGACAATAATAGAAAACATTGCCAGTGTGTTCACAGTGCAAAAAAATCTAAAGTTATTGAAAGAGAAGTGACAGACTGCAAGTGTAAGTTGACTACAGTATCTAGTGTGGAAGTTGGCTCATCAGTGTGGCAACAAGACTTGTGTAGACCATCGGGGCAAGCAGATGATGATGGATCAACCCCACGCTCAGATCCAGGAAGTGGGGGTGAAAGTGGAAACTCAGTATTACAAAATAACCACCTTGGAGGACCAGTTCGTCGCCGAGGCTCGGGAGAGAGCGGTTTTTTTAGTGTTGGTGATATTGAAAGAGTAGGTACACCAGAACTTTGTTTATCATATTCAGAATTGAGTACTGCTTCTCTAATGTCTACCGAAGATGATGATCCTGTTCATCATTGCCTTGTGCAAAGATCTTCTTCTGTTGTAACCGATAGCTCAGAAGACTTATCTAGTCTCGGTTGCTGTCATGACCCTCAAAACTCTTGTGATCTTTCTTCTTTGTGTGAGAGCGAGGATGTTATGCCTGGTAGCCGTTTGTCAGATTACGAGGTGGATACTGATATTCGCCAAATTGTGGATTTCTTTGAGAGAAATGTTGGGTCTGGTTTAGGTTCTGAAGCTCCTAGACGCACATCTTCTCGAGTAAGGCAGGGGTGTTTGGTACCTCTACTGACCCACAAATTTAGCGCTCTACATGCTGGTCATAGACTGATTAGTGTAACAAGCCCTCCATGTCCTGTTCATCATAATATTAGCACCTCAAATGGTGGCAGTAAGTCATATAGCACCAAAGAATGTGCAACACCAAAGTCCTGCCGACAGCCATGCTCACGGGCTGAGCGGCGCGATACATTTCGGGTCAAAGACAGACCAAAAGTTTACATAACTGAGGGTACCGTCCGTGCAAAGCGCGATATATTTGAAGCTAAATGAGCCAAGTAAAATATATTTTCTTTGTCATGTTTTTAATGTACATTGTTGATATTTTTCTTTCCTAGTCACAAGCGTAAGTGTTTTGTGATAATGAACTAACAATTTTTCTTTTGTCTAGACATGTGAAATAAAAATAAAACCCGATAAATCACCTTTATAATCCGAAATGCAGCAAATCTAAGAATTTAGCCTTGGCACGTATTGATATGTATCAATATTGTTCCTTAGGTATATGTTATGTATTTTGTCCACAGTAAATATTTTTTAAATGCATCTAATAAAGGACACTGCAAATATACATTGAAACCTAGATATAACAATACAGTATATGTAATGTGTATTCCGTACAGTCTTCATAAACAAATACAGGTACTGTACACTTAATATTGAACATTACAAAATGAAGCAGAAAGTTTTTGGCAGTTACAGTTACTAAAGCTGATGGAATTTATTTATTTTAACATAGAAATATATTTGTAGGATAGACCCCTTGGTAGCTCCCCAGGCTTAGATCCATCCATGCCTACTGGAAGCCAGAACCAGAATCTGGCTTGTTCTGTGAGGTGAGTGGAGTTTGAGATCAGAGATCAAACCAAAACAGAGTTCCATCAGGAAGTATAGGTATAATAAAATGAGCAACAGCTTGAAGTTAACTTATGCACCCTTGGTAAACAAGGCAGATCATTGCTGTACAAATACCTTAAGTGATATGTCCAACTGCCATCAGATAGCCCAGGCCACACAGTTTTGGCCAGTCTGACACCTCACATTTTTTTGGGGGCCTGGTGCCACTGGCTATGTAACTCTTCAATGGGTTCCATCACGTGCTAGGTAATGCTGGGCTTTTCACGTGTTTCATAATAGGGCACGTGCTCTAGCATTCCCTTGTGCTCCCACTATAGCTAGGATTACTTTCCCAGGGATCGGCTTGCATTTCCCAATATGCAATCAGAGATACCTGCTCTGAGGGGTTGCAAGGCTTCCTCCTAAGTCTCATTTCTGTGCAGTGCAAGACTTGTTTTGCCTCATGGGGTCTGTTCACAGGGAGTTTTTAAGATTGCTTGTGCACATTTAAAACCTGTCCATCATGCTTGGTCCTGCTCCAGGTGTTTGTTTGGAGCCTTGCACTTAGCTGTAGGCATGCTTGGGTTGAATAAGTGATTTTATAGTAAGTGACTATATTTTCCTCCCACTATATATATGACATATTGCCAGAACAGATGTAGAGGTTTTTAAGAGGCAATTGGACAAGTTCCTGCAGTGTCAAATCAGCTGGGGTGTAATGGATATGTGGGTCTGCAGGCCTCTCCATGCAACAGTCTTTCAGATCACAGTGTCACAAGACAAGTCTGGCTTCAGGCTGGACTTTGAGAGTAGAATAATTAAAAAAACTGACTACAGATAACATGCCAACCCTTGCAAAGTGGTTTAGGCTGGGGTTAGGTGCACATTTTGCCGAGATGCTTACCCTATGCCTGGTATGCCTGTCTATTAAATTGTGTGTGTAATGAGTCTCTCTTATCCTTGTGAATATTTAATTGTATGTGATGTCAGCTGCCATCTGGTTGGTTTTTTGGCTTCCTCAATCTGATTTTGTATCTTTGCAGTTTTCTGCTTGACAGGTTTTGCTTTAGTACTTATGAACCCAGTTGGACATTCTTGTTGCCTCTGTCTTTTGTGTCCAGTATCATGTTTGAAAGTTGGGTTACAGTCTTCATAGTACTGTATTTCCATCTTAGTATTTGGCCTTGCATTGCTTTTTAGCTGTCTTTTGGCCTTGCTGCATTTGTGTTGTGCTTGAGTGTTGTTTGGTGCACAGCCGAGATCCTTTTGACCAGGAACCCACTCTCCTGCCATTCTTATCCCACAGGTAAGCCTGGCCACTTTTTCTGGCTTCTGAAGAAGCCAGAAAAAGTGGCCAGCCTCCTCTGCCGAAGCTTTGAGTAAGTTTGGAATGTTACTGATGGATCCCTACCAGAATTTGAGCACAAAGTAATGAAACTCCCTTTTCTGGTGGGCCTCTAGAAGCTCGCCATCCATGTCATACCCTTCTTTCCCATGGGACTCGAGTGTTCAACACGAGTAGCTCCCGAGTGGGGTGGCAGGCTGGTAGAGCACCCTTTCTAGAATTGTCACAACGGGCAGAAAATTACTAAATTACTCGAACCTAATCTAACTGTTGGACCCATGCATAGAAAATGTGGTGTTTTGAGTCGCTACGATTTATACCATCATATTTTGTCCATTGAGGATTTTAACATTAAAATGCATTGTATTATTTGAGAGGACAGGTTAGGCTGAGACCTGTGACCTGTGGGTGACTTGGGCTGCCATCTGGTGGTAGTTGAATGCATCAAGGTTAGGATATTTACCCAGGGTAATAAACATTTGCCTTATTTAACTTGAAAGGCCTAATTTCCTTCAAGCAATCTTGTGCTTTGTTGTGCCTCCACATTTTGTCTTCGTGGTTTTGAGTCATTGACCGATTCCTAAGCTTCCCTCCTCTTGTAGTACGAGCCAGATTCTGTTCTTGGCCTATGGTAAGGAAGGATGTGTCTTTGAAGCCTGGCATGATTAGTTAAGGCTTGGTGGTTCCAGAGCCAAGCTTGGGAAACTACTAGAGACATACTTGAATAGGGCACTTTATTACATTCAACACAAGATTTATACAAATTCAGTTCAAATCCAAATTGGTTTTATTCATAAATGTCTACATTTATAGTTTTGTTAGTTTACACAAACGTACAGTAAATATTTTCCCTAAAAGAAAGTAATATTAATAATAGCATATGTATTATTATATATTATATACTCTACATAGATGTAATGGAACCGTGAAAATATTCTGCTAGTGTCTCCTGATTGCTTACTAAAATTCCATTATCGTATGATTTGTAAACCAAATACTGTATTCATGTGATTTTCTATATGGTTGTAATGAAGGCTACAGATCCATCACTCATAATCTGTATCTTTATCAGTGTAAAAGAAGCCTACCATCGTCTTTGATAATGGTAGGCTCCTGATGATTTGAAGCTTCTTGCCAGTATTTGAATACAGATTATTGCCTATTGTTCCAAATATCTGCTATGATGTTGTCCAGAACCCATCACCTATCGGTATTGTTCATATGGTTTTCACTGCTAATGTATGGCTATAAAGAAGTTTACCAGGTTGACCAATCATCATTTGAGCCATAATTGTACATTACATCCACTTGGGGTCTAACATCATCTCTTATGTGGCAAAGAGATGTATCCTGCTTTCCTTTGATTCCATATGGTGTACACTCATATGGTGCCAATTATCCCCTATGATGTTGCCCAGGATGCATCCCACCCCCCCCTCCCTCCTCAGTAACCAAGTCAACATGGCAGAATCGACTCTTATGAAGTACATGGAATACTCTGTGTTTTGTGGATAACCCAGTTGCATGTTTTATGTGCATGGTATACATAATATCTATGACATTTTTAGTATCTAAGATGGAAAGACCTGTTTAGTAAGAGAATTAATACAAAGATGTGGTCCGCTATGTTACAGGGGATAACAAAAACAACAACACAAGTCATACAGTTGTTTCAGAACATTTACAATACAGTACTTTCAGGATAACTAAGTATTCTCATGATTTAATAATTCTCGTTCACAAACTTTGAATTTTACTACGTGGTGATGCCATGAAATTATATATGGTACCTACATTACCACAAACAAATTTGCCTGATTAAATACAAGTGTTATAATATGCAATATTTTGTAATTGAATTATAGAAAAACTAGAAATTCATTTGAAAACAATGGAAAGAGAATTATGAGAAACCACGAAGCCATTATGATTATGTATATAATTGTATACCTTTCCTCGGAAGGGATACAATTATATACAATTAATACATAGTGGGGGAGTGTGTGTGAAGGAACAGTGCTCAGCCACTCGCACCTCTGAGGATCAAGTACTCACCTGCTAGAAGTGAGGCTGTTGCGATACTGATTCGTTCAAGCAACTATCATTGCTTTCTAAATATTAATTAAGACAAATTTATATAAAGTTCTTGCACAATTATCTAATTTTCAAAGTTGCCAATTACTTAAGTTTTCTTGGGTCCAATGGGTCCTGCAGCAGCATTAGCTCGAAGCACTGCTCCAGGGGAGGGATAAGGACGCATCTGGAACAACGGGCCACTAGCCGTTACATCAGCACCAGTACGAGCTTCATTTCGCTGAGGCAGTCCAGATGCCCAAGTACCTCTGAAAAAAAAGTAACATCAAGAAACATCAAATTTTTTTTTATATATATCAGTTCTCTACTACGAAAGGATACTATTCGAAAGGATCTCTATTTAAGAGAGAAAGAATGAAATATTTTATAAGACATTTGAAGTAAGTAAGTAATTATCAAAAGAATGCACCAAGCCAGGAAGACTATTTAGCAATGCCAGGTCTTGATATCATTAAAGATGCCAATACGAGAGCAAAGGAACGTTGAGAATAAAGTCAAAGATATTAGATTATAAAGACAAAGATAATAAGATAGGAGGATGGAAGAACTGTGACCTGTAAATTGGGATAGGATTATAACTTTTGTAGTTAGTGCTAATTAGTTATGCCATTAAGATGATGAGATAATGGAGCGAGTATAAGGTTTACTCGCTACAGACTCAAAGGGGCACTGGGAAAGCAAAATTTATGATCCTGAAAAGCTGGGCATTCTTCGAGGAGGTGCATGACAGCAGTACAATGCAGTTTAGACAATAAAGTGCAGATCTTTGTTTCAGTAAGTGAGCATGAATAAGTTTAGTGAGTATGGCCAAGACATTTTAAATTTTGATAAAATCCAAGCTACACTCCCACCTTACTCCACTTCCACTGTCGTGTACTTGAACCAGTAAAAACGATCTTATAATTACGAAAAGACAAGTGCCAAGTTTGAGGTTGATATTAGAATTACAATGGGTTATAATCAGTTATGCTTTGTTTACACTGGCAAATGATCATTAAGCCTCCAGGAGTAAGTGTCGATAATTTACACCACTAATTTTGGGGCATACTAAAGAAGTTTAGAAGTCACAAAGAAGCAAATTCTTGCAGTGTGGGAATTTTTCAATATTTTAAAAGTTAATTTTCAAATTATTATTTGAATATTTATTATTTATTGAATTATTTATTATACTTGAAATTATCAACATACATCTCGTATATACCTCAACATCTTCATAAAATGTATACCTCAACATCTTCATAAGTTTTAAAATTTGCCCAAAACACTATTCATGTTAGTGGTATTGAGAGAATGTATCACTTGATACTAAATTTGTTTTAATACAATCCCATTGTACAGTCTGGAAAATTAATACCTAAAATTTTCCCCACAAACTCCACATTGTGAAACCCTTTCAAAGATATCATACTAGAAATTAATTTCTACACGTTTCCAACTAATTATAAAGAAGCTGGGAATGTTATCAAAGCTTTACACCACAGTGAATAAGTGAGTATAAAGCCATTTCATATATTGGTAGGAATAAGGGTGAAATTAGTTTGAATCTGTAAATATATGGCATCCACAGGCACGATAATGCATCTAAATTACCATCTACCAATTACCAATTAAATTACTAATTGGGACCATCTAAATGTAATTAAGACAGGAGATGAGAGGGGTATAATATGTATGCATGAAACGGCATCAGTTTGTCAATAGACTGAATACTAGTACAGGTTCATTTTTTTACATCCTTTTAATGAAAACCTTGCAGCAAGCACTTTACACCTGGTTGGATGAAGAGATGAGGTGAAATCCCATGAAAGTGGGAACTGGGAGAGTGATGATAAAACTTTTCAAGTAGAGAGCATAATTCAAAATGAAGTACAAGCATTCTTTATTCAAAAGACAATACCCAGTTTCCGTTTAACCTTTGCCAGTCAGTGATGGCTGCTATAGTTATAACTAATAATCACTTACATCTTTAAGTATGTAACTTCAAAAGCTCAAAAAATAAGGTTCAAGTTCAAGTATGTTTATTGAGATAAGAAAGAAATACATCTCAAAGGGATAGAGTAGCTTAGGCTATTTCTATCCCCCAACAAAAAAAATAAGGTTGAATAGTTTTTACTGGGACAACATTAGTCTTAACTAGCTTTCTAACAATTAAATAGAAAACAGATAAATATCTATGACCGAGACCTTACCTGCCACATTCTCCATAAGATGCCGGGTCCATTGGGTCCAGCTCCTCACTGGGTGGATGCCGGCGACCTCTTCGATCTCTGCCACGGTCTCGCTCCCTACCTTTATCTCTATTTCTTTCACGGCGATCCGACTCTCTCTTTTCTCGCTGACTCGATTCATCTCCGGACCCCTTTAATGGATACAAAAGAGTCTACATCAGAAGAAGCAATTTTCTTGATATCCAAAATCCATGAAAATATCAAAATGTATAAAATCAAAGGATTTTAATTTTATATTTTAACTCTTTGAATTATCTTTGCCCCATCATCAAAAGTCCACTGATTACATCAAAAACGAGTCGAAGAAGGCATCATCATGGAAGCCTTGGTTGCAAAGAAGCAAATAAATAGTTTACATCTACTTCCCACACAAACACGAGAGGAAGTACAGGCACAAGTAATGACCTCAAAAAAGGCCACAAAGTATGCAAACCAACATCTGGAACATACTGGACATAACTCCCAACTGAAAGGAGTAGCAAAATTGTCACCAATGGATCTCTTGGTATCTCATAGGAGCCATACAAGGAACTTGCAGTATCGATACAGCAATGGGTATTAAAAACAAAACCATGACATGTATTCCATTGAAGCAGGGTAAAACAATGTTATAGATAGATTACTGGAGTACTCTCCAATATAAAAAGCCGAGGACTGTACCAGTGTTTCCAGTTTAAAGTACAAAAATAATTAAGAGGATAAATAAATGTTGGCGTGATATAACCTCTCAGAGTTTACCCTGAGGTGGTTTCAGGGATCAGTGTCCACACAGCCAGGTCTCTGACCAACATAGGAACCCAAACCTAGTTGATTAACTACCCTATGGAGGCATTTATCAAGTTTACTCTTGGACACTAAATTTGTTTGGAACCAGTCCCTTTAATATTTTCCTTAAAGTAATTATTAAAGTAAATAAAGTAATATTATTTTAAGGAATATTTTCATTAGTAATTTATAATTCATCTACCTGCATCAGTGAACACAGTTTGATGGCTTTAAATTTTCCCCAGAATTTAGGTGTTTTATCGAGTAGATTTGAGCAGTAAATGTTCTCTATAAAAAGTAAGATTAGTTAAAATTTATCATGTATATTGTGGATTTAAAATTAATATGATGAATAGTTGTTATTGGGCTGAACTACTCGATGACAGGAACCATAGATTCATTATAACATAAAATTGCTCTCGGGTTTAAGTCAATACAATGAGATGTTCTCAAGATATCACGCAAAAACTGAAAAAATAGCAAAAATTGTTCATTGTGGCAACATAGTTTAATTTCAATGGTAGCTGAAGTCTTTTACTATTACTAAAGTACAGTATTCTAAAATATAGGGGTCCTCAAGCTACTGAACACAAAACTTAGATAAAGACAGGCATAAAGCATCTTCATCAGGGATGCACAATCAAGCTTAACGCAAATAATGAAAGTCGAGATGATGGGTGTCTGTAAAGATAACCAGCATTCCTTCAACAGGGCAGGCAAGGTCAAATTACAGTAACACATCTAATTTGCTTTCTTTGACCTTAGCTCCTTTATTTGGAGTAAAACTGATAAAATTGCCAAACCTCACATTCTGAACTTATAAACTAAACAAGGCAACTAAAAATAAGAATTTTGAAGAGTCTTAATGCAAATTGTAAACCGAGCAGGCTCAAAGGTATAATTTGTATCACGGAAAAATATTTAATGGACATTTGCAAATGAAAGAAGAAAGTATTTAAAATTAGGCAGAAATAACGAGAAAACATGTAGCTCTATGAGCACATCTACAATTAACATAATTAATTACCTCTGATTTGTCACTCATGTGATCATCACCATCTTGATCATCTTCCTCTTCCACTCCAACCATTTCCCCCTCATTCTCCGAGCCACCAGAGCGATTCTTGCTAATTTCAGTTGCCATTTCTTTGCGGAGAGTTGCAGCAGATCGTGAGACCTGGCATCGTGGATGGCCTGGAGGAAGCCATGACACCAGATCTGTTTCAGTGTTCCAGTAGTAATAACGACAGCTGCGAAATAAAATAATAAATTATGAATTTGATACACAAAAAATTATGGAAATTAAATATAGCAGTAGTAACAGAGAGCCATGATGCCCCAGTGTTAAAATATCTCCAAGATACAAGTCAAACAATATTACTGATACAAATATGAACTGATATACTGTATGTTACTTCAGATAGAATACAATAATAGATTAATTTTTAAATCAATGCCATGAATACGAAAAATAAAGACCATTATCATAAAGAAAATGCCATTGTTGTTGTTATAGATTCAGCTACTCAGAGCAAATTCCAAGTAGCACGGGCTATGGTGAGCTTGTAACTTACCTGGCACAGGAGCGGGGTAAGTAGCACTGAATATGGTGAGCCCGTAGTGGACTTACCTGGCACAAGGTGCCAAAATGCCATTACTGCAGTTAATTATATATATATACAACTGTCCCCCCACCCCACTAGAGTTTACCACAAAATAACTGACAAACCATGAGCATAGCCCAAAAGAGGTCTCCCTACACTGTACAGATGCGAATCCTGCCTAGAATGAGGAAGTGGCAGGAAGAGAAACCACACAAGATACCAACAAATAAATCCAAAACAAATCCATTGTACATCCTCCACTGGTAATAAGAGGGGTAGCTAAGGAAGAGAGCTCATGAAAGTGGCCTAATATGGAACTCTAGCAAACAAAGCATGATGCAAAAGAGATACACCACACTCTGGTGAAGCAGACCGAAGACGCAACATCTAGGACAGCAAACTCAGATTACAATCACGTAGTAAATACTATACTGTTGAGCAGAGAAGGACCAAAACTCCATTTGCAAGCAGGTATCGAGAATGAACTCTACTATAACCAAACCTGGAGGCAAAAGGTAAGTAAACCTTCATAAAGCTGTAAAAATATTTCCGAGAAGCCAGACAAATGATAAAAATCATGTAATTTTCCACTAAAAAATCAATTGCTTGCCAGCCAGGATGTGGTAGGAAATTTATACTGCGATCAGGAAATGGTAGCCGAGTCAAACTTTAAGACAGTAGGACTGAGATCTGATACAGTCCCTGTCTTGTTGCAGGAATAACAAATCCCAATGTGTCTGACCAGAGAACAGAAAGAACTGAAGATACTTGTGTAATATGTTCACCCTCTCCCACTGGATGACACAATGCACCAAGGACTTGAAAGCATAGAGCTCAAACTGGGACTTACGGTAAACAACCTCTCATCTTGAAATAGATTTCATCATCAAAGTACAAGGGTCAAAGGGCCAGCAAAATGCTCACATCCTGTAAATTATATATACAGTAACTAGTTTTGAGAACTCTTCCACACTTGTAGCCCAACTTTTTTTGGTGATAATTTGATTGATAAAGCCAGCAGTTGCAGTGGTCCCACAAGTCCACACATCCATTATAACCTGGCTGGCATTTCCTACAGAAACTTATCCAAATCTGTCTTGAAAACTTCCATTCAATAGCTCCACTAGTATCAGGAGGTTGCTGTTTGAACAGCAACACACTCCAACCAGAAGAGACTACTAACAAATGGTAGAGTCCAAATCATCAACATCTTCCTTAAAGAACAAAGGAAACTGATCAGACTCGATGCCAGAAAATGCAGGGAGCCCCATGTTCCTGTAACAAGCTTCACAACAATAACACCAAAAAGCTAGACTGATATCCAGCTCTTGACACCTGTCACACACAAGAAGCAAGCTGGAAACGACAGAAGTGGCCATTGCTGGTAAAAGTCAGAGATTAGAATACTGTAGAATTTGGCTCCACACACCTTTATGCATGAATGCAAGACCATGTTCTGGTATGAACCAGAAAACTCAGAACCAAAATATCAATACAGTACCTGTACTTTAATTTATAATCTGTGAAGCATCTGCAGTATTAGTATATTAGATAGAGTAAGGAATGAAAATGGCAAGGAAAGATGCTTTGGGCATAATGAATGAATAGATAATAACCTGGTAAGTTAAGCAACTTTCCCCATAGTAGTGCAAACAGCTCTTATGGGCAACCAAGGTAAATCAGTGTACTGTACTAATTTCACAAGAAAATATAATACTAACATGCCTGGATCCAAAATTTCTTGCCAATGGTTGGGTAAGGGATACTTGTTTAGCATTCTGATTCTACGACGATCATAATCTGGATTAATGACTTTACGCTCCTTCCACTGCTCCCTGCACATGCTGCCACACTCATGGTAAACATTCCATTTGTTTGGACAGCCTACAAATCCCTAAAAATGATAAAATTACCAATTAGGTTAATAATATAAATCCATCAAAATAATATTGTAACAAAATGCTACAAATATATAACATAAATCATTGTATAGTGCTACATAATTAAGTTTCCCATGACTTCATACATTATTATTAAAGAAATCAATATAAAATAAAGTAACAGTTACTGTACTAGAAGTCTTGGCGTTATTCATCATTAAAATTCAAGATGCTATACTGTAGACTTCCTACATATCAAATGAAAATGAAAGTGATTTGTTTAAAAATAATGAAAATTCTTACAGATGGAAGTCCAATAAATTGAAAAATGTGTCTAAGATCACGCCAACAAATTACATTACTTTAATGAGAATAGAAAAGTTCTCAATTCTCAGGCTGTCAACACCATACCTGGAGTGAGGAGTGGCAATTTCGGCACCACTTTAGTTAAAAACCAATTCATGAATAAAACTAAACATAGCACACACATTTCACAAATAATCCAGAACTATGGAAAATGAACTAATTACCATGTATGGGTCGACAATCTGTGACTCAACAGGAGTGTAAGCGAGAGAAGTCTGTTGGGGTGTCTCATCATAGTCTTCAGCAATAATCTCTTCTTCTGCTGATGCTGCTGCCTCAGGTTCTGTAAACACTGCTGAAATATTGAACATAAAGTATAATATAGGTTATCATTAATGACATTTCAGGGGTAAAAATGATTCAAAAATCATCTTGTACCTTTCAAGTTTCAGAATACAGAAATAGCATATATAAATAAATACTAAAAAAAAAAAAAAAAATGAATATTCATTGCCCTATTTTGTTATTCCTACAGGCCTCATTTTGTGGGTTCTCTCAAAGGTCTCACATGATTGCCTTTGCAAAAAACCATGAAGACGCCATCTTTTTTTATTTAACGCATCAAATGATTCTCTATCATAGAGAAGCTGCAAAAGGCATGATCTTGCCCCACTAAATCTGTTTTGGCCTGGATTGTGGAGGTCATTGGTCGTCATGACAATGGAGATCTGACTCCTGATCACACTCACTTTTATGGTAGATGTTAGTACAACTGGTCTATACTGTAATTCTTAGCCAATGCTTTGGTTAGACTGCACAGTATTTTGTTGAAAATCATAGGAATAGAGTAATAAGATTCATTCCAGGATCAAGTACAGTATTTTGTTTGTACAGTACACAGAAACTGTCAGGCAGCCTGGTTTCCTGGAGGCTGGCTAGAAGGCAGGCCTCAGATGTGGAGCAAATTATGAAACCACAACTCGGAAGTGAGCCTTTTGTACAGAAAAGTAGGGAATTCTTTAAATGGAATGGCTTGCTGATCTAGAACTTGTCTAGTATGTGTTATATACAGTATCACTAACTTAGCAAAAACAACATTGGGATTCAGGTTTGGAATAAGATATACAGAATCTCAACTTACCTCAGGGATGAGAGTGGTAAGTAAGTGGTGCTAAATTAATAAACACATTAGCTTTCTGGACAAAGTCACTTTGCTTTTTGTAACAAATGACTCAATTTTCCAGCTATGCCAGTATTTCTTTAAGAGGGTTAAGAATAGTTTGTATGTTGATATAGCCAGAGGTATGGATTATTATATCATACTTCCTCATCACTGTGTGCTTCCTATGCATAAAGTTCAGGAGTGCATAAATTAATACATTAAACAAAATGTGACTGAAGACAGTGTTATGTCTAGTTCAAAGTCTCTTGGCTCACTCTTATGCCCATGGAACAATACAAATGTTATTCTGTTACAAATGTTCAAGAAGTATGAGTGTTTCATTCAAAATGAACAGTACTACTAGAAATCTTAACCAAATATAGAAGCTTCTATTGATTTTCTTATTGTAGAATGGTATATGCACATTTGTAAATTTGCCCCCTGCCACTCACCCAATGAGCGAGTGGCAGGGGGCATCATTCTTAACACTTAACTAATATACACAAATTGTGGTATATGACAAAGTGTACAGTTTCAACGACGTACACATAGCAACATTTCATTTTGCATTTTACATTAAAATAAACAGCACTAAAAAAAACAAAAAATGAAGAAAAACCACATACCTGGCTCTTTGGGGATATTGATGATCCCTCGTTTTGCTAATTTCGCAGCTAAGGCTGGCGGCAGAGGCATGGTGGAAGCTTGAGATTATAACACAAGTCGTTGTCTTCACGAAACGTGCAGTGTACTTGAAAGTTTCTTGTAGTAAGTGATAATATAAGACGAGGTCTAAATACGTCCTTGTGTTGATGCTCACTGCTCGCTTCGGCCCCGACCTCACTACTCACGTTTTCTCACACACTAGAAAGTGAAGGGACGACTACGTTTTGGTTCGTCCTGGACTAAAGTCAAGGCGATTATGATGAGGATGATTGATAAAGATTAAGCCACCCAAGAGGTGGCACGGGCATGAATAGCCCGTAAGGATGAGGAAAGTGAGGCGAGGCAATAAATAGGCAAGAAAGGTGAGAAGAAAATCATAGACGCAGAAAAAGCAAAGCAAAAGGTAAGGTGTAATAAACGATATAGTAAGAGAACATAAGAACAAGGTAACTGCAGAAGGCCTATTGGCCCATACGAGGAAGCTCCTATTTAGAGATTCTAAATGTAGTTATTGTCCTTGTATATAAGTCACCGGAGGCAAACCCTCAGCAGTTTAAAGACCAACTAATGAAAATAGAACACTGCTTGGAAAACCTCACAAATCCAGCTCCGAACATCATCCTGCTTGGGGACTTCAACCTACGGCACCTGAAATGGAAGCACCTGGCTAATACAGTAATATCAGAAAGAATACCAGGAAGTAGCCTAAATGAACAGGCACATGCAAATGACCTGCTACGGATGTGCGACAGGTTTGCCTTAAACCAGCAAATAGTAGAACCAACTAGGAAGGAGAACACGCTGGACCTCATTTTCACTAATAATGATGAATTGATCAGGAACATATTGATTACAAATACCTGTTACTCAGATCACAACTTAATTGAAGTTATGACAACCATGGGGAGTAGACCTTCAAAACCAGTCCAGATTCCCGGTGGAGGAGATTTCAGCAAATTCAACTTCAATAATAAACAGATAAACTGGGAGCGAATAAACCAGGACTTCACAGAAATAAACTGGGAAGAACAGCTAGGAAATGCAAACCTGAACCAGTGCCTGGAAAAAATAAGCTCAGTGGCACTAGAAATATGTTCAAACCGCATACCTCTAAGAAAAAAGAGGAAGAGATGCAGATTGGAACGGGAACGTCGTTCCCTATATAGGCGAAGAAAACGAATCGCGGAACAACTTGAGAGTCGCACCCTATCTCAAGAACGGCGAAGAAGGTTAGGTAAAGAAATAGAAACAATTGAACGCAAGCTACAAGAATCATACAAAACCCAGGAGAGGCAAAGAGAGGAAAAGGCCATCAGTGAAATAGAGAGAAATCCGAAATATTTTTTCTCTTATGCAAAATCAAGATCAAAAACCACATCTAGTATCGGGCCCCTGCGAAAGGGAGATGGAACTTTCACCGATGACAACAAAGAAATGAGCGAGCTACTGAGGACGCAGTACGACTCTGTTTTCAGCGAGCCATTAAACACACTAAAGATTGATAACCCAAATGAATTTTTCATGGATACAATACCACCATCAAATCATATATCAGACGTCACCCTATCCCCACTGGATTTTGAAGAAGCCATAAACAGTATGCCTATGCACTCTGCACCAGGCCCGGCTTCTTGGAATTCCATATTCATAAAGAACTGTAAAAAAACACTATCGCAGGCCCTCCACATTCTGTGGAGACAAAGCCTAGATACTGGCGTTATTCCTGATATACTAAAAACAGCAGAGATAGCACCACTTCATAAAGGAGGAAATAAGGCAGAGGCAAAAAATTACAGACCGATAGCGCTAACATCGCACATCATAAAAATTTTTGAGAGAGTGCTAAGAAGTAAAATCACAAAATACATGGAATCACAGCAACTCCATAACCACGGACAACATGGTTTCAGAACAGGGCGCTCTTGCCTGTCGCAGTTGCTGGACCACTATGATATGGCATTAGATGCTATGGAAGACAAACATAACGCTGATGTAATTTACACAGATTTCGCAAAAGCTTTTGATAAATGTGACCATGGTGTTATTGCACATAAAATGCGTTCAAAAGGAATTACCGGAAAAATAGGCAGATGGATCTACAATTTCCTGACCAACAGAACCCAATGTGTAATAGTCAACAAAATAAAATCCAGCCCATCAACCGTGAAGAGCTCAGTCCCCCAGGGTACTGTGCTTGCTCCAGTACTTTTTCTCATCCTCATTTCGGACATAGACAAGAACACAACCTATAGCACTGTATCATCCTTTGCAGATGACACTAGGATCTTCATGAGAGTAGGCAACATAGAGGACACGGCGAACCTCCAGTCAGATGTAGATCAGGTCTTTCTATGGGCTACAGAAAATAATATGGTGATTAACGAAGATAAGTTCCAGCTCATGCGCTATGGAAAAAATGAAAATATAAAAACGGAAACCACGTACAAAACTCAGGCAAATCATAACATAGAACGAAAAGGCAATGTAAAGGACCTGGGTGTACTCATGTCGGAAGACCTTACCTTTAAAGAACACAATAAAGTAGCCGCCACAACTGCAAGAAAAATGACAGGTTGGATAACAAGAACTTTTCACACTAGAGATGCTATACCGATGATGATACTTTTCAAAACGCTTGTGCTCTCTAGAGTGGAGTACTGCTGCACAATGACAGCCCCTTTCAAAGCTGGAGAAATTACTGACCTGAAGAGCGTGCAGAGATCCTTTACTGCTAGAATCCACTCAGTAAAACATCTAAACTATTGGGACCGACTAAAGAGCCTAAAACTGTACTCCCTTGAGCGCAGACGGGAGAGGTACATAATAATTTACACGTGGAAAATATTAGAGGGGCTGGTCCCAAACCTGCACACAGAAATAACATCACATGAGACCAGAAGACATGGCAGGATGTGCAGAATACCCCCGCTGAAAAACAGAGGTGCAACTGGTACTCTGAGAGAGAACTCTATCAACATCAGAGGTCCGAGACTGTTCAACACGCTTCCACTACACATAAGGGGCATAACTGGCCGACCCCTCACAGTGTTCAAGAGAGAACTGGATAAGCACCTCCAAAGGATACCTGACCAACCAGGCTGTGACTCGTACGTCAGGCTGCGAGCAGCCGCGTCCAACAGCCTGGTTGATCAGTCCGGCAACCAGGAGGCCTGGTCGACGACCGGGCCGCGGGGACGCTAAGTCCCGGAATCACCTCAAGGTCAAGGTAACCCACTCATAGACATGTCCAACCCACGCTTGAAACAATCCTTACGGGCTATTCATGCCCGTGCCACCTCTTGGGTGGCTTAATCTTTATCAATCAATCATTTGAAACAATCGAGGGACCCCACCTCCACCACGTTACGTTGTAATTGGTTCCGCAAATCAACAACCCTGTTACCGAACCGACCCAAGTCTTTCCTAAATCTAAACTTATCCAATTTATACCCATTGTTTCGTGTACTGTCTTGTGTTGATACTTTTTATACCCTATTAATATCCCCCTTGTTATGTCCATTTGTAGCGAGTATAATACTTATACTCGCTCCATTATCTCATTATCTTAATAGCATAACTAATTAGCACTAATTACAGAAGCTACAATCCTTTCCCCAATTACAGGTAATGCTCTTCTCACCTTGTTGGAGGAAGCTGAGGTGTAATCACCATATAAGCAACGATTTGATGAATAGAAGACACGGGAGACATCTCCCGTCACGCAGGGTGCAGTCGCACCTCCACAGATCTCCAGTATCAGCTATTGATACTGGTAATGGCTCAAAAGGGCCACCACTTACGGGCTATTCATGCCCGTGCCACCTTTTAGGTAGCTTAATCTTCATCAATCAATCAAATAGAAGACAGTTCAATTTCCACAGTCAACAATGTAGCACTCGGAGTGTACAGTCCTAATCGACCCAAGACGCTACAGCTTCGACACAGAGCAGATAGCAGACTACGACCGCATCGAGCCGCCAAGCTCTCGCTCCCCGAGTTCAGACACTCGCAATTCTCAATCGAGCCGTCACGCTCTCCCACATAGAGCTCCACGACTCTGGCCTCACTCAGCTCTGCTCCAGGCTTCGTCTCAACGTCTACGACACTGCTGTATCCAGGACTACTAAATAAATATGAAACTCACTAGACACTGTGTATCTAATCAACCCAACAACGTAATATAAACGTACGTTACACATTCATCCACTTGTAAACCTCTATCATGTCACTCATCTCGAACCCATTGTTGATGTGACGACTTATATTAAATTTTGTAACAAGCTCATCAAGATTGTAACTTGCTTAGCTAAATGAATTGTGGGGTTCAGTCCCTGAGCCCATTATGTGCCTCTGTAACCCTTTCCACTACCGCCCACAAGATGGGTATGGGGTGCATAATAAATGAACTAAACTAACTGTCACCCCTAACTCTTCACCTTTCCAGTGAATGCAATTTAAGCTTTGTTAATCTTTCTTGATATGAAAGATTTCTAATTTGGGGAATTAACTTTGTCATCCTACGCTGGACACGTTCAAGTGAATTTATATCCATTCTATAATATGGCGACCAAAGCTGAACTGCATAATCTAAATGAGGCCTAACCAGAGCAAGATATAGCTGAAGAACAATACCAGGTGTCATGTTACTAACGCTTCGATTAATAAATCCCAGTGTCCTTTTTGCCTTATTACGAACATTCATGCATTGATCCTTTGGTTTTAAGTTCTTACTAATCACAACTCCCAGATCCCTTTCGCAATCTCAACACAATCTAGCTCGTATCTATTAACTCTATCATCATTACCTAACCTCAGAACTTTACATTTATCAGCATTAAACTGCATCTGCCAATCTTTTGACTACTTTAAATCCCTATTTCCTTTGGCTATACCAAAGGAAACAGAGAGTTAGTATAAATGGGGGGTTAAGTCAGAGTGGGAAAATGTTGTAAGTGGAGTGCCTCAATGCTCTGTATTGGGACCTCTGTTGTTTATAATATATATAAATGATTTAGATTCAGGTTTGAGTAGCAACATTTGCAAATTTGCCGATGATACAAAAATCGGCCATTAAAATACAAAATCGGATACAAAAATACCGACCTTATAGGCTTTAGTGGACCCATACCTATCCTGAGGCAGTAGTGAGCCCCATACCCATCCTGTGGGCAGTAGTTTATTTATTTTTATTTTATTTATTTATTTTTATACAAGAAGGTACATTGAGTTTATGAGAGTTCATAGCATTAATGTTTGTACATTCTTGTAAAGCCATTAACACGCATAGCGTTTCGGGCAGGTCCTTAATCTAACAGTGGTAGAGGACCAAATACTCATCCAACAGGTGGTAGTGGAGCCCATACATATCTTTTTGGGTAGTTGTGTACCTCATAAACTTCGTGTGACTTGTTGTGAACCCTATGTCCATCCTCTTTACAGCAGCGTATCCCCATAGACATTCCAACGTTATATCGTTTTCTGTTGACGTTTCTACAATCCATTCTCTTTAAGGCTTTCAAAGCGTATACTCTTGTATATAATGTTGTTTAGCGAAAGCAACATTATTATGTGTAAGAATTTATAGAGTGCTTATTATAATTTACTGTATAATAGTGGTTTAAATCATGGGTTGAAACATTAGTACACAGAATGGAGACTTATTATAACTTTTGTTTAACTATTTTAGTAAAGAGAGCATTCATCTGTCAACAGCTGTCATCTTCACCGACGACTTCACTACAATCTTAACTATTAAGCCTTAAAATCATCCAAAATACTAAAATAAGGAGCCATAGGTGGTCTAGTTTTATATACCATAGGTGAACTATAAATCTTAATTATTCAATTTTGCCTCAAGTCAACTAGATTTTCTTAATTTTCTTGGAATATTGCTGCACTCAGGCAATCAGAGATGATAATCAATTCCCTCCTTACGAGCAAATGATTTAGCTAAATTTGGAGGACTCTGTGCTCAATCCCACAAGGTCTCCATGCGGTCCTCTGTGTGTCACATAACTCTGTAAACTTCTGTAAACCATAACTACCTTTTGCTTAAATTTAAACCAAGTAGCACGGTGCTATGGTGAGCTCGTAGTGGACTTAGGGAGTTATTAAAATATATAATAAGTAGACAATTGGGATCTTCAAGGACCTTGAAGATCTTAATTGTCTACTTATTATATATCTTATTATGTCTACTTATTGAGATCTTCAAGGCCACTGACTGACCATCTCCAGAAATTGTGACTATCATATAGAATTCTAAAGAGTGCCGTTAGACGAGAACTATTAGATGATTTAGAAGAAAGCAGAAGAATGCAAACATGAACTAATAGGAACCAACAAATCCGTTGTAGATCACAATGAAATGTGTCAAACAAAACATGTGTGTGACAATGGCAAGTAACAGAATCAGTAGATTGACAGATGTTGTCACACCTCGAATACGACTTGGCTACAAGTTTATCAGGCACTTGAGTGTGTGGCTGTAGGTGAAGTGGTGTGTAAACTGTGGGTAGAGGCAGGCACTCTCTCTTACGAGCTCACCATAGCCCGTGCTACATGGACACTTCGTTCTGAGTAGTAAATCTGAAACAACAACAACAGGCAGGCACTCACGCGAGAGCTATATATCTTACACGGTCAAAATTGAGGCATTTAGAAATAAAACTCAACTTACGTTGCATGAAAGAGCAAATATTTTTATTGTAGATGTTAAAATGTCTGAATTACTTGCACTGCATTCACATTTCGCTTCAGTCAGATAATTGATAAACATATTGTTAATCCAACAATATATAATCCAATAAATATATTGTATATTTTTAATCCAACTGCATGACAGCCAGTTCTGCAATGAAAACTTTACAATGGTTAACTAACTTCGTGCTTCTATAATTCAGGGATGGTCAACTTCTTGGGCTGCTCCCAAGAGAACTGTTGCCGACCAAAATGTCCATAACATGAAGTTTCACTGTAGATTGGTCTCTTTAAGCCCAGCTCCTTGACAATGTGTCCTGGTCGTAGATCAAAGTTGTGATTAACAATCTTCAGAAGTTGCTTTGATGTGTACTGTGAGGTACCATAGTGGAAGATGCTGATGCTTATGGGCTGCGCAACACCAATGGCGTAAGATACCTGAACCAAACAGCGTCTGCATAATTTGTTTGTCACCAAGGACTTGGCAACCCATCGGGCAGCATAAGCCGCTGAGCGGTCCATCTTTGTGTAGTCTTTGCCAGAGAAGGCTCCCCCACCATGAGCGCCCCACCCACCGTATGTGTCAACGATGATTTTTCTGCCAGTGAGCCCAGCGTCACCTTGTGGTCCGCCCATTATGAATTCTCCACAGGGGTTGATGTGGTATTTCGTTTCAGCATCTATGTATTTTTCAGGAATAACTACCTTGATGACCTTCTCCATAACCTCGTCACGCAAAGCTTCGACAGTAATTTGTTCCGAGTGCTGTAGAGAAGCGACAACAGTATGCACTCTTTGGGGGATGACAGCGCCTCGATCGAAAGCATACTGGCAAGTGACTTGCGTCTTGCAGTCAGGTCGCGCCCACCAGAACGTCCCATTTCTTCGCAGCTCTGCAATCTTCTGATTGAGACGGTGTGCCAGCACGATGGTTAAGGGCATACACTCGTCTGTCTCATCAGTGGCATAACCAAACATCAGTCCCTGGTCCCCTGCCCCGATGTCGTCATCACTGCGCCCAACGTGTACACCATTAGCAATCTCTGCACACTGTTGCTCCAGGGCCAGGAGAATATTGCAGGTCTTGTAGTCAAAGCCCTTTCGTGAATCGTCAAAACCAATTTTCTTGACAATATCACGCACAATTTGTTGATAGTCAACTTGCGCCTCGGACGTAATCTCCCCACAGATCAGGATCATGCCTGTTTTGGTACAAGTTTCACAAGCAACTTTGGCGTCAGGGTCCTGGCTAAGATGGGCATCAAGCACTGCATCGCTGATCTGATCGCAAATTTTGTCCGGATGGCCTTCGCCTACGCTCTCACTGGTGAAGAGGAACGTCTCCTGGTCTCCATCCATACTCTCAGTGCACTATAGTGTCTAGGAGGCCAACCCAGCTGTCGTGTGCTCCCGTACAGCACAGAGTGGATAAAGAGGCCGATACTGGTGCTTTCCCAATATTTATATCATGACAGTCACGTGATCACTCAGGTGTCGTCAACACCTGATTGTCACAATGCGCACATATCTGGAACACAATAATAATAATAATAATAATAATAATAATATTAATTATTAATATTATTGTTGTTATTAAATAATAATAATAATATTTTATTTATAAAAATACAAAGGACCTGATTGATTACATAGCAGGTAATTACATTTTAAAGGCAGCGTAACATTTGAGCTGTTATCATAAGCTGTTATCACAAGCTGTTATCACAAGGATGACTATCATTAACACTGCTGCAGCGCTTCACGGTGGTGTGTACTCACCTATTTGTGTTTGGTGGGGTTGACCTCTGGCTCTTTGGTCCCGCCTCTCAACTGTCAATCAACTGGTGTACAGGTTCCTGAACCTATTGGGCTCTATCATATCTAAACTTGAAACTGTGTATGGAGTCAGCCTCCACCACATCACTTCCTAATGCATTCCATTTGTCTACCACTCTGACACTAAAAAAAATTCTTTCTAATATCTCTGTGGCTCATTTGGGCACTCAGTTTCCACCTGTGTCCCTTTGTGCGTATGCCCCTTGTGTTAAATAACCTGTTTTTATCAACCCTGTAAATTTTTCTGAGAATCTTATACGTGGTGATCATGTCCCCCTAACTCTTCTGTCTTCCAGCGACGTGAGGTTTAATTCCCGTGTATATTTTACATGTGTGTATATATTACAAGGTCATACCTGGGCCGTTCATATTCGAAATGATTTATTTCCCGATAGATTGGACTGTGAACATTCAGTGATGACAGCAGGCATCTTGAAGTGAAAATTTTATCCTTCGGTTGAGGTTGAGGCGAGTCACACCACCACTAGGCATTGTTATACACACTTGTGGCATTGTTATTCTTGTTGGTTTAATGGCGACGACGAATTGAGAATCGGATGCGCCCCGGGGACTAGGGTTCGGAAAAGGAAATAAGGGGAAGGGGGTAGAATCCTATCGAAATCTCTTCAGACAGTGGTCATGACCGAATATACGAAAAAGCTCGAAAAAAAAGTTATACGAAAAAAGTTATTCATACAGCTCTTGATAAAAATGAGTTCCCTGTTGGGTTGTTTGTGGACCTGCGTAAAGCTTTTGACACTGTCAACCACCAAAACCTTCTTCTTAAATTACATCATTATGGAGTCAGAGGACACTCCCTACAATACCTCAAATCCTACCTTACTGACAGGCTCCAATATGTTTCTGTGAATAATACAATTTCTCCCACCCTACCCATCAACATTGGTGTTCCCCAGGGCAGCATACTTGGCCCTCTCCTCTTTCTCATCTACATTAATGACCTTCCAAATGCCTCCCAACACCTCAAACCAATTCTATTTGCTGACGACACAACCTTCATTTACTCCAGTCCTGATCCCCTTGCTCTAAATGCCACAGTAAATACTGAGCTAAATAAAGTCCATCTGTGGCTAACTGCCAACAAACTCACCCTTAACATTGACAAAACCTTCTATATTCTGTTTGGCAATAAATCCTCTAATCAAATAAATCTCAAAATAAACAATACCCAAATTTGTAACAAATTAGATGGCAAATTCCTTGGCATTCTCATTGACCACAAGCTTAATTTCCAGGGACACATTCTAAACATATCAAAAAAAGTTTCAAAAACTGTGGGCATTCTTTCTAAGATCAGATATTATGTACCACGCCCTGCCCTGGTGACTCTCTATTACTCCCTTATCTATCCATATCTCAACTATGGTATTTGTGATTGGGGCTCTACTACCCAAAATCACTTACGTCCTCTAATTACTCAACACAAAGCTGCTATTAGGACAATATCCAATTCTGGCCCCAGACATCACTCGGTACCCCTACTTAAATCTCTGAATATGTTAGACATTAAGTCACTGCACATTCTCTCATGTGTATTATACATATATAAAACGCTAAACTATAATGCCAATCCTGATCTCAAAAGCTTCATAGAAGGTTGTATCAGAACCCATGAGCATCACACCAGAAATAAATAGTTTTGATATTCCTAGAGTACGACTTAATCAAACTAGAAATGCTCTACAAATCAAGGGGCCCAGAATGTGGAATGACCTTCCCAACCATGTTAAAGACTGTACCTCTCTCAACCAGTTTAAGTTAAAAGCGAAGCTATACCTAATAAATTCCCTGTAACCTACCTTACCCTTCTATTGTCAACCAATGTCTGTTTTTTTCTTTAAAGAGCGCTGTTTGTCGACATAATTGTATTTGTGCTGCTTTTTCATCTATGTTTTCATTTCTTGTTTTCATTCTACTCATTATGCTCAATTAGTATTAAGCTTGTCATTTAAGTTTATCATGCCCGAAACGCTTTGCGTAATAGTGGCTTTAGGCATTGTATGTACTAGCTATACCTATAAGTTAAACAATCCTTGTAAATATTTATTGTATGTATGTACCTTACCTAAATAAAATTGTATTGTATTGTATTGTATTGTATTGTAAAAAGTGTGGCAATGTGTCTAGTATAGTCGCCCCTTGCTCCAACTCCATCAAAGAGAACGGAACCTGTGAGGAGGGACATATGTAACCGAATTTGTGGAGGTTCTGTTTACCTTCAGTGAGAGAGTGCTATACACTCCGGGGGGAGAGAGAGTGCTATACACTCTGGGGGGGGGGAGGGGAAGGGGGAGTGCTATACACTCCGGGGGGAGAGAGAGTGCTATACACTCTGGGGGGGGAGGGGAAGGGGGAGTGCTATACACTCCGGAGGGGGAGAGAGTGCTATACACTCCGATTGGAGAGAGTGCTATACACTCCGGGGGGGAGAGAGTGCTATACACTACGACAGTAGTCGGGTTGTTACCACAATAAAACAACAGGTTATTATCTCAAATTTATATTAATATTATTTTATGAGTTTGTACACATGATGAGCTTAGGATAAGTGTTTTGTCTTTGTTGGTAAATATATTAATGTAAGTATTGATGGTGTAGCACCTTGTGACGCGTGAGGTGACTCTCCAGGCACGTTGTGACACATCAGGTGACTCTCCAGGCACGTTGTGACGCATCAGGTGACTCTCCAGGCACGTTGTGACGCACGAGGTGACTCTCCAGGCACGTTGTGACGCATGAGGTGACTCTCCAGGCACGTTGTGACGCATGAGGTGACTCTCCAGGCACGTTGTGACGTGTGAGGTGACTCTCCAGGCACGTTGTGACGTGTGAGGTGACTCTCCAGGCACGTTGTGACGCGTGAGGTGACTCTCCTGGCACGTTGTGACGCGTGAGGTGACTCTCCAGGCACGTTGTGACGCGTGAGGTGACTCTCCAGGCACGTTGTGACGTGTGAGGTGACTCTCCAGGCACGTTGTGACGCGTGAGGTGACTCTCCAGGCACGTTGTGACGTGTGAGGTGACTCTCCAGGCACGTTGTGATGTGTGAGGTGACTCTCCTGGCACGTTGTGACGCGTGAGGTGACTCTCCTGGCACGTTGTGACGCGTGAGGTGACTCTCCAGGCACGTTGTGACGCGTGAGGTGACTCTCCAGGCACGTTGTGACGCGTGAGGTGACTCTCCAGGCACGTTGTGACGCGTGAGGTGACTCTCCTGGCACCTTGTGACGCGTGAGGTGACTCTCCTGGCACGTTGTGACGCATGAGGTGACTCTCCAGGCACGTTGTGACGCATGAGGTGACTCTCCAGGCACGTTGTGACGCATGAGGTGACTCTCCAGGCACGTTGTGACGCGTGAGGTGACTCTCCAGGCACGTTGTGACGTGTGAGGTGACTCTCCTGGCACGTTGTGACGCGTGAGGTGACTCTCCAGGCACGTTGTGACGTGTGAGGTGACTCTCCAGGCACGTCTGGTAACACTCACAGGTAAAGTGTATATCTTTGTAATGGGGAGGTGAGACGACTATTTCGTGTAATTACTCACGGCTCTGTTCTCTGGAGGACATGTTTTGGAGGGTGACACGTGAAGGCCTAGTGACCAGTGTGGGAGGGTGACACCTGAAGGCCTAGAGACCAGTGTGGGAGGGCTGAGATGAGCACAGAGCGTAGTGAAGACAGCTCTGGTGGACGGTGGGACCGCAGCCTCCCTTATCTCCCACATATGTGTTGACCCACTAAATTTCTATCGCCTTTAGTCACACTCTTTATGTATCTGGTAACGCTGCTGACGCTCTGGTAACACTGCTGACGTCTCTGGTAACGTTGCTGACGTCTCTGGTAACGCTTCTGACGTCTCTGGTAACGCTTCTGACGTCTCTGGTAACGCTGCTGACGTCTCTGGTAACGCTTTTGACGTCTCTGGTAACGCTGCACAAGTTGACAGCCGCACATCACAATGGGAGAAAGACATTTGTTCAAGGGCTATGTTGACGCCTTGTCCGGGCCGGTCTTATGCAGCTGCTTGCACTCTTTCTCGACTCGAAGTGACGAGATTGCGCGCGCAAGTCGACTCGAAGTGACGAGACTGAGCGCGTATGTTTATTCCAAGTGACGAGACTGCGCGCGCATGCCCCTGTGTATTTTGAAGCACACAAAAAGGCCACATTTTGAGCATTAGTTCCCTGGGAAATCGGAGATCCGGTGGACGACGTGTCATCATCGTCTCTCTTCGAACACTCGGGGCCCAAACTTGTACACCAGCTTCCTTTCCGGAACGGAGACCAACATTCCGGACTTGTAATGGTACCTGAAATGGAACAGACGCGTGTTACTCCCGTCCTATATAGTCGGGTTCGTTCACGGACTCATAATCAGGAATTCCAAGTTCGAGTCCAGGGCGGGACAGAAAGGGACGGGTGCACTTCCAATCACCCAAATGCCTTGTTCACCTAGCAGTTAATAGGTATTCAGAAGTCAGTTTGTTGTGATATAAGCCATGATATAAGCCTAATACTGGCTGCCTGTGCCCCTGACACAATGAATTATTTGTGATGGGGTTGAAAATATATTACGGTTCTAAAAAATAGTCTATTTGTCAACTATTAAGTAAACCTTTGTCCCAAATACAGAACATTGTTCAAGTTATAACTCTACTGTATTATAAATCAATGGTTTAAAATACAAAAAGTCCATGGTTAAATCATTTTCTTTGAAACGATCTGATGCCTAGGTTTTCTGAAAAAAAAAATTAAATTCTAGGGTTTATTCAAATAGTTTTCGAATTTAAAATTTCACATGTTTGAAAACTATACACCATTTTAGAGAAACCAAACTTAACCTAACTTAATGTAACCTAACCTAACCATGGATAGGCAGCAGCTAATAACACTAATTAAGTAATGATTTTGACTTAATTACCCCGAGGGTTTAAACCCCCCTGAGGACAGGTTGTGTTACTGACTGTTCATTAGTGATTAAAAAAATATTAAATTAACAAGATTACCTTGTAGCAAACTGGTGAAGAAAAAGCAGGTGTTTTCACAGGTTTAAGACTCGTCCATTTGTAGTTTTAAGAGAAGGTGGAATACAAACTAAATCGTAGAAAGATATAAAAAAACATCAGACACTAACAGTTAGAAGACAAGGCTAAGATTCAGAGCTTTTTCTCGTAGATACTAGTGGGTGACTACACACACACACACACACACACACACACACACACACACACACACACACACACACACACACACACACACACACAACCAGGTATGATAGGGAAATGGGACAGGAGTCATTGCTGTAAACAACCGATGCTCGAAAGGCGGGATCCAAGAGTCAATGCTCGATCCTGCAGACACAACTAGGTGAGTACACACACACACACACACACACACACACACACACACACACACACACACACACACACACACACACACACACACACACACACACCGGAGGACACCTGCTGCTCACCTGAGAGCGCGAGCAAAGTAATCATAAGGCAGAGAGCCATCCTTAGGTCGGCGCTGGCCCCATCGCTGAGCCACCTCGTGCTGGTTGGTGAGCCGGAAGATGTGCTCCTCTTCATTCTCCCAGCGGATGATGCTCGGGTTACAGGTCGGGTCCTTCAACAGGTCCAGCAGGAACTCCCACAGCTTAGGGCCTCGATCTCCACGTCCTCCTGCCGGGTGAGAACCGAGTCATAAGATGCCATCTCTTGGCCGCATGCCTACGACATTTTGGGCATCATTATTAGAGGAATAAGTCACAACAAAGGTTGGAACAAAGCCGGCATCGTCAGGAACGTGAGCCACATCTCTGTCCAAACAATTAACCAGAATTTGTGTTGTAATATTCACCTGTGTATCCACAACCAGGAAGGTCTTCCCCTGATTCTCCAGAAAGTGTTAGTAGATTAATGCTCGGAAATTATTTGAATAAAATAATGCCAAACTATCTTTTTGGTAAATAGACGATTTGTAATGACCGAGAAACATGCACTTGAGCTGAGTGAAGGACAGAAATTGTTTGAAATGTTTGTTTATTGGCGAGGCGAGGACTTCACTGTCTTATACCTGGATGAAGATGCCTATAGGGCTTGTTTAGCTTAGATTTCTGCCTAAACTTCTAGTAAACATCAGTGTTTGCTGGCGTTTTGGTACACTTACTTCTGTTTTTAGCTTGGCAGGATGAAAATTGTGATAGGTGGGTGGAGGTGGGGGGCGGGGTCACTCCGGGCACAGAATACCCAATACCCGTCGCCTCGGACGAATACCCGCAATCCGTCGCTCCGGCTGGTGAATACACACCGCACGTTCCGTGAGAAGAATACCCGCAACCCGTTGCTCCTGGAAGAGAATACCCGCCACCACTGCTGACTGAGAGGCAGTCCTCTCTGTAGCTGTCCTTGCGATTCACGTGCAACCTGTCGAACATATCCAAAGTACGGTCTTCTACGGACTCGTCCTTGACATCTGAAGTCGGCGTGGAGTATCCTCGAGTACAGGAGTAATGCTCAGGCTGGTACTCGTAATATGGGTAGCAGTTGCTCCAGTTCTCTTGGGGATGGGTAGCGGCTTTGGGCTGTAGTTCGTAGTAGGTGGCGCTGTTGGAGGCGCTGCCGGACGTGTTCTCCAGAGTTAGCTGTGGCTGGCAGTCGTACCCACCTGCAGCACAATTATTATTCATTTAGTATAGTCTAGTGTTTATATCACTCCATGTTGGCATAATTTAGGTACACAAGAAATGGATAGCAAAGTCAATATGAACAGTATGTCTCGGAAACGTTTATATTTGAAGTGAGATTAAATTTGTCTATGTGGCACCTAGAAACAGTAATTTGAAGGCTAATCTAACATCTACCTGGTGGAGAGAGAGAGAGAGGGAGAGAGAGAGAGAGAGAGAGAGAGAGAGAGAGAGAGAGAGAGAGAGAGAGAGAGAGAGAGAGAGAGAGAGAGAGAGAGAGAGAGAGAGAGAGAGAGAGAGAGAGAGAGAGAGAGAGAGAGAGAGAGAGAGAGAGAGAGAGAGAGAGAGAGAGAGAGAGAGAGAGAGAGAGAGAGAGAGAGAGAGAGAGAGAGAGAGAGAGAGACAGAGAGAGACAGCAGAAGGAGACTACTGGGTAGTCACAGGGGTTCACTTACCATAGGAACTAGTGGTGCGGACCAAGCGGTGAAGACGGTCGTAGAACAGTTTACCGTGGAGAGGATTGACCTCACGGAACTGCTCCTGAGTCATGTTGAGCAGCTGGGGTCCCGTGAAGCCCCCGAAGCCCCCCAGGTGGTCAGCGTCGATGTTGTTCTCCTGGCACACAGAGAACACCCACCCGCGCACGTGCTGGAACGGGCATACCTGTTGTTACTCACACACCTGTTGTTACTTACACACCTGTCACCACGCTCACTCAGACCAGGGGCAGGGGTAGGAGGGGGGAGGAGCGTGGAAGTAGGTTAGAATATCATTGCATGAACAGAGGTCAGTGCAGGTGTATATATAGGCCTACTAACTCTCACATGAATGTTCATCTGTTCAGCTAGAGTGTGTCTGGCTGTGTGGAGCCCGAGTGCTTGACTCACGGACACCAGAGGATCCCAGATGACAGCCATTCTCTTCTTACTTGTGAGTGCTTATGGATCACCTCCTTTGAGACACTTACCAGGACATAAGTCACTTACCAGAGCCTGAGACACTCACCAGGGGTTTGGGTTACTTACCAGGGCTAGAGACACTCGTCAGGGCCTGAGACACACTCACCAGGGGCTTGAGACACACTCATTAGGGCTTGAGACACACTCACCAGGGCTTGAGATACTCACCAGGGCCAGAGACACACCAGGGGCCTGAGACACACTCACCAGAGGCCTGAGACACACCAGGGGCCTGAGACGCACTCACCTCTCTCTTCCAGGTGTGGACGGGGCAGTAATGGAACATAGTGCTGCAAGGCGCCCCCCCTTCCTCCTCACTCTCGTAGAACTCGTTATCCCAGCTGTAAGGGCCAGAGATGCGACATCTGTAATAAATATAAGTAACAGCTGCGTGCAAGCGTACCTTATACATCTTAGAATACATTAAACAGTGCTCTTAAAACATGCATATCATACAGAATATACACGTGGCGGCTGCAGGGCGCAGTGGAGATGATAAGCAAGCTCGGAAGACCAAGCTGGGTCATCAGAAGGAGGTGAGATGCGAGGGGAGACTCATCAAGACTAACAAGCAACAAGTGTGTCTGTGGCATTAGTATTGGTCTTGCTGGCCAGGTGTTCAGGGTCACTGAGAGGAGCCTACCTGATAACCTGCGGCAACCGATCTCTAGTGTGTGTGTGTGTGTTGTGTGTATTCAAATTGCCCAATAATTCGTTGTCAAAAGACATGCTATGGTTAATTTTGTAATAATTCAAGTTTAAAGGTTAAAATGTTAAGAGTGCAATTGTCTTCAGCGTCTTATGCTAAAAACGTCAGTCACAGAGTGAGGTGACATCCTTCCCGGGACTCTTATCTTTCCCCTATCTCTTCTCTCCTCCCATATTTCCTCTCTCTTATTCCTCTCCCCGTCTCTCACCTCTCCTGCAGCTTCTCCCTTCTCCATCTTTTCCCCTTCTCTCCTTGTCTCTTCCCTATCATCTCCTTTTACCTTATCTCTCTTCCTATCTTTCTTCTCTCCCCTATTCCCCTTCCCCCTCCTCTTCTCCCCACATTTCACGGTGGAAGCATCAAACTGCGGGTTTAAAAACCCCTGATTTTACTGCATATTTTTTTTTTAAATCGCGGAAGGGGGCAATCAATTAATGGGCCGATATTTCTTTAAGCACGGTACTTGGGCTGACCTCGACTGGCCTAGGACACTCAAATATCTCACATGTTTAATGTGTTAAGGTTGGGTGAGGCCTCGTACTTCGGACAGAAACGCACACACACACATTATATAATATATATATATATATATATATATATATATATATATATATATATATATATATATATATATATATATATATATATATATTCACAGCTTGAAGGGTTTGATGTTCCGTGACATGGTTTTAGGAGACTACTCTGGACCCCCGTAAAAGAAAGCTCGATGCTCTGACGCCCCACGTGGCCGTCAACAAATGGTTGGCGAGGCATCGGAAGGTACCTGACGAGGTCCACAACATCGGTAAGGACAAACTTGTGAACGTGATGTCTCCAGAACTGTAATAATACAAAGCACGTCCCTGCTCCAAATACGTTAACTAGTTTTCAGCACCTGCAATCACCCCAGCCCAAGGGCTGCCGGCACCTTCAGCACACACCCCGGCCCAAGGGCTGCCGGCACCACACACCCCAGCCCAAGGGCTGCCGGCACCTTCAGCACACACCCCGGCCCAAGGGCTGCCGGCACCTTCAGCACACACCCCGGCCCAAGGGCTGCCGGCACCACACACCCCGGCCCAAGGGCTGCCGGCACCACACACCCCGGCACCATACACCCCGGCCCAAGGGCTGCCGGCACCACACACCCCGGCCCAAGGGCTGCCGGCACCACACACCCCGGCCCAAGGGCTGCCGGCACCTTCACACACACCCCGGCCCAAGGGCTGCCGGCACCACGCACACCCCGGCCCAAGGGCTGCCGGCACCACACACCCCGGCACAAGGGCTGCCGGCACCACACACCCCGGCCCAAGGGCTGCCGGCACCACACACCCCGGCCCAAGGGCTGCCGGCACCACACACCCCGGCCCAAGGGCTGCCGGCACCACACACCCCGGCCCAAGGGCTGCCGGCACCACACACCCCGGCACAAGGGCTGCCGGCACCACACACCCCGGCCCAAGGGCTGCCGGCACCACACACCCCGGCACAAGGGCTGCCGGCACCACACACCCCGGCCCAAGGGCTGCCGGCACCACACACCCCGGCCCAAGGGCTGCCTGCACCACACACCCCGGCCCAAGGGCTGCCGGCACCACACACCCCGGCCCAAGGGCTGCCGGCACCACACACCCCGGCCCAAGGGCTGCCGGCACCACACACCCCGGCACAAGGGCTGCCGGCACCCTCAGCGAGAATGGTTGTGTCAGGCGGTGAAACATTTATCACAACACTCACTCGTCGAGATCTAGACTGAGTAAGTCGTCAGGCAAACATCCCTGGGCCATAGCTGAGAGCAGAGCTTCCCTCAGTTCACTGGTGTTGCTTGCTTGCTGGTCAGAGAGCACTGCAAGCACTCACCGCCTTGCACCTTCATATATGCCAGCCTGCCTCCTGCTTGGTACGGGTTCTCCTCTTGACACATGAATGAATATCGTCGTTATTTTACTGAAGCGTGTTGGGCATAACTGGGACCGACATTCATTGGCTGGCAAAATTAGTAACTCCGCCCAAGAGGAGTGGTTAATGTGGGCGTGAAGCGAGGCAGCTCCTGCCTACTACGTCACGGCATCCTTCCTGCACTCACCAACGAACGCCATCATATCTTCTAGTCAAGGTAAATTAGTCTTAAAAGGTCTTTCCAGCCAAGCGTAAAAATATATATGTACCGAGAAAATGTGACCCGCAGAACGACCAGGACGGCTGACCTGGAGGTTCATGACGGGTGAGGAACCTCTACGAGTTCATGTGTAAGGTGAGGACCTCGGGAGCATCCACCCCAACTTCGTGCACATCTGTTGCAGGAGACACTCACCCCCTCCTGTGCTGGAGGTCCTCGCCAGGGTTCACAGGACCCGTACCTGTGATGCTGTGGTGCCGACACCTGGTTCACAGCACCGCACCTCCTCAACTCTCAGCCGCCAAGAGACCTTGAAATACCTGTATTGCTGGTTTGTACAACAGCAGCTCAGGGAGTCTAAGCATCCCCACCACCGCCACGGGTCTATCACACCACCAGTTAATAGACCTGTGGTGGTGATGAGGGATAGGTGATGCTGGTAGTGGGGTGAGGGAGGAGGGGGGTAGGTGGACGTAGTGGGTAAGTGGGGGGGGGGTGGTAATGGGTAAGTGGGGGTGGGTGGTGGTAGTGGGTAAGTGGGGGCAGGTGGTGGTAGTGGGTAAGTGGGGGCAGGTGGTGGTAGTGGGTAAGTGGGGGCAGGTGGTGGTAGTGGGTAAGTAGGGACAGGTGGTGGTAGCGACGGAAGAAGGCCTCATACTACAGTACAAGACTTAAAAAAAGAATGGAGTGGGACTTTTGGTCTCTTTATGACAGATGGTAATTAAATAATTACTCAGGGTACTCTTGTAGAACCCTGAGTACATGAACAAGAGTACAACAACCACTCTCCAGGAAAAGGTTCTCAATAAACATACTTGAACTTGAACTTGAACAACATTTACAAACAGCTGAAGAAACACTGAGAAAAAAACACACACAGGCTGTTACACGTCTATTAATCACAGGGAGTCAAGCAAGCGTCCAAGAAAGGCTTAATGTTGGTCTGAAGACTATTAGAGAATGACTCTGATTTCTTGTAGGGCAGTGGCCACCGCAGCCGCTCACGACCAATTGGGCCCCCTGTTCGGTTCCCCAGGCAGAGCTGAGACGTTTCGACACCTTTTCCTTTTATCTGATGTCTATGTTTACCTAGCAGTAATTAGGTACCTGGGAGTTAGACAGCTGTTGTAGGTTGCATCCTGGAGATTGTTGTGTGTGTGTGTGTGTGTGTGTGTGTGTGTGTGGATATAGTGAGGTTTTCAGTAACAAAATGTGAAAACCTTTTCAATAGAAACATTATTGAATCTGCTTTAATACAAATTATAAAGCCTTACAATATGAATATTAATAATGATTTGAACAATTTGGATCCATTTTTAATTGATCAATTAAAAAACTATTTTTTGCAAGATGATTAATACACATATATGTCATTAGAGCTTGTAGGAGCTCACACACATTAGTCATTAGGGATAACACTTCCAGAAACAAACTCGTATTGGTCATTAGACCTTCAGCAGTTTCCTCTGGTTCTTGTGTTCATGAATCAATATTACAAAGACATTATTTGTGACCTCTAATTAGACAAATCAGACCTGTGGAAGACTGCAATACAAGATGAACAGATAATCTCCACAGATGGTCTGAGAAATGGCTACTAGACTTTAAACCTGACAACTGCAAGGTTATGAGGATAGGAACTGGAGCAAAAAGACCTCAAATACAGTACCGGATGATACGAAGGCAACTTGCAACATCTGAAAAAGATTAAGACTTAGGAGTGGACATAACTGGAGATCTACCACCAGAGGCACACATCAGCAGGATAACGAGGGCGGCATATGTCATACTGGCAACCGTTCCGTTATCCTGCACCAACTTGGACATAGATCCCTTCCAAGCGCTGTATACCACCTTTGTGAGACCTGTTACTGAGTATGCAGCTCTGGCACGTAACCCCTATCTAAAGAAATACAAAACATCATTAAGGTCCAAAAATATTCAGCAAGGCTTGTTTCTGAGCTAAGAGGACTGAACTATGAAGAAAGATGTGGAAAACTGATCTCATTCCACTTGAGGAAAGGAGTAGGGCAGACATGATAACGACATACAAGATACTGAGGGGGACTGACACAGTAGCTAGACAAACAATATTCAAATTAGGGAACGCGAAGACATAGATGAAAGCTGGAAACATAGACGTTTCATCGGTATGTCAGAAATAACTTTCTTTATAAGAGTCATAAATAAGTGGAACGCACTAGATAAGGAAGTTGTTGAAACCAATTCGATAAGCGGCTTTAAATGTAAATATAAGATAAACAACCGAACATTCATCTAATGATAGTCGAAAGACGGGGCTTAAGAGTAGGTGCTCGACCCCTGCAGGTTCAGTTAGGTGAGTTTGTCAAGACTGTTAAGGGGAAGAGGTTGACCACACGCCGCTGGCTCCCGGCGACCATGTACTGAGCTGTGAGAGGACCGCCTCGCCAGGCCAATCTTATCGCAGCTGGCTCCTAGTACAGCTGGCTATCACCTCGCCTTATCTGGCTGCCAACGTCTTGCCAATCTTTTAAGTACATAACAGTTTATTA